CTTGCGGTGTCGCCTTCATATACCATAATACCTTTGCTTACGCATTGCAGTGCACTTCCCATCCTCCGTCAACTTGGATCTGAAGGTTCGCTACTTGACTCCGTACGCCAAGGCGATACATCAATGCTACGTGTTTGGATAGGCATGGAGGCGCGAGCTTATGTACAGGCCAGCGTTGAAAGCGTGGAAAACTGTGTCAAGTACGATCTTTTGTCCCCAAACATCTAATCTTAGCCCTTCTGTGGATACTGCATTGGAAATCAATCACTCTGAGATTCATTCATGGCATCGATCGCGACCAAATTGATGGCATCTGAGCCCTTTGAAAATATGTACTTTGTACTTGAGCAAGCCGAAGCATAGCTATGAACGCTGCCTCCTTGCTAGTAGCGATCGCAAAGATGGACAGAAACGGCCCGCCATTTGGGTGTATCAACAAATTTGGTTGGCTTGACCACAAGCTCAGTGACGGTGACGGGCTTCTTAAAGAGATCGATCTTCTTGTGACCGACACCTGTGCCTTCAGAAAGTGTCTGCCAGGGAACACTCATCGTACCATTAGCGTGGTGGCATCGACAACCTTTCCCAGCACCTGGTAGGCACGAATCACTTGTCCATTTGTCTGGTCTTCCATCAACTGTATCCTATCGATCGGCGTTGGATTGGTGAAATGCAGATGGTAGCTTCCATTCTGACTTATCTGGGTCCACATAGCATCTGTCGCAGGTTTCCCGTAGCATGATCTGATGAAGTTACCAAGCTGTTTATACCTTGCGGCGTATTCTGCAGGGATGAGCCCGCTCCGGTCAGGGGTAAGATCCAACTCAAGCACGCAATTATAATTATGCCCAACTGTTCTATGATAAATATCAACCATCTCCTTGTATGAGCGCAAAGTAGCATTCATTCCAAAAAACCAGCGGTCCTTCTTTTGAAGGGTCGTGTCGCATTCAGCGGGAGCGAACCATTCTGACCCGGGATCACCACCGTCGTTCTCGAGACCTCTGCAGTCGTCTACGTCAGTGAATGCGCATGTCTCCAATTGAACTCGAGCAACTCACGTTGACCATGTTTCCTCGGGAGCATGGCCTTCCTCTGTACCAATCCATCTGATAGGATTTGAGGTGAGACAAGTCCCAATCTCGTCGCACCCGTCGGAAAATGGCAGCGTCAGGCTGTAGCCGCGCAAGAAGATCTTGGATCTTATCTTTCTGTGTGGCACTATATCCTTCATCGAACCAGATCTGACAGACGATTAGCTACTTGCACAATCAAAGACCTGACGCAATTCTCACCTCGGTCAGTTTTCCATAGTTCGTCCATAGCTCAGTTAACTGATCCAGAACAATCTGGTCATATGTTGAGTTTGTTATGGCAACCTGTCCTGGCTCAAGACTATCATCCAATACACGACTTTGTGCGACCTTCAGGAAGTTGTTCACGACGACGCTGTAATAGAATCCATGTCCCACGCCGTATCTTTCCGTAGAGTCCACGAAGTTGCGAACTAAATCCATACCATGTTTGGGCGAGCCGGCAATGGTGTAGTTATAGTGCACAGTTTGGTTGTCACGATTTTCAAAGGTCACTTCGCTCGGCCATAGGTTGAAACCACAATTGTGCTTCGCAACGAGCGTTGCGTATCTTCCACCCAAGGTTCTAATTGAGTCCATCCATTGATCTGTGTTGATCAATTGAGGGTCAAAGAGATCGACGTTTGGCACGAGACGGGGCACAAAATTGCAGCCATCTTCGTCGATATAGGTAGCGATGTTATAGTGAATCAGCACGCCAATTTCTCTGTCCTGGAACTCAAGTTGCGACTTGGTAGGCAACGCAATCCTCGAGCCATCCAAGGGGGAAATGCGGTACTTTGGCTTGATTGAGCTTGCCCTGTTGGCCTTGAGAGGGGGAATAGTGGCAGCGGCAGCAATATTGAGCAAACCAGCGCCAGCAACAATCTTTGTGGGGAGAACCATATTGACGATTTGGTTCAAGGAAGTAGAAAACGTCTGGGAGGATCAGGAGCCCCTGAATGGTGGCCTTGTAAGGACTGCCCTGATCTCCTCACCCCGCTCTCTCTCAGGCGCAAGCGGAATCGCCGCTGACAATGGCCTCTGTCGTCATTGATGAAGCCGAAAAACATCTTGGCTGAGCAAGAAGCAATGGTACAGAGGACCGTAAATGATCAATTCTCCCACAGCATCGAGTATTCAACTCCTTGCTCTGCCCGCTGCAGGTTGATATCTGACGCGGGGTGCAGAAAGGGAGAGATGATAGCTTCCAGCGGGGTAAGATGCAGTCGCTCGTGCAGTCAAGGTAGCATCGCTGGCTTCGTCCTCATATCTTCAGGTAGCTCATAGTGCTTCTTGATGATCAGAACGTAGTATTGCAGCCGAATACCACCATTGCCCGTCGTCGCTTTGGTATCGCATACGGGGGGTTGATTTCACCAGATATACCCCCTGCCCATTGGGCATTGCTTTACCGGCTGCATTCCTGATTAGCTGACGAAGTTCGCACTTCGTCAAGTTGAGGGAGGCGGAGGACGAGATAAAAAGAAGTTCAGAGCGGCAATCAACGCTGATGCCCGTGAGATGCATTGTAATCTGTAGAGTGCATTGACTCGTAGAAATACAATAGAAGGTTGCTGATGGGGAAAAAAAAAGGGGGAAAAAAAGTTGGACGTTCTGGGAATCGAACCCAGGACCACCCCAATGCGAATGGGGTATTATACCACTAAACCAAACGCCCCATATTTCCTTTTTCTTAGCTTATATGAGAATATCAATCCTTTCATCACGTGATTAAGTAAATAGCCTTTATCTAGTGCTTATGTCCCCGTCAAAGTACGAAGCGTGACCGACGCATGCAAGAGCCTTTGACCAGTATGCGACCAAGTCCACTCCACCTCCAAAATCGAATTGGGATCGCAGCACAGCACAACAGAGCAGACAACAACAAATTATCTTTATTAGGCATGTAAATGCCTGCGTCTTTCGAAACGCGTTTTTGGTGTATAGATTAAGAATTTGTGCTGGTGGTGGTTTTGGTGGGGACTTGACAAAATGCGATATGGAATATTTGGAGTCGTTCGCGTCTCACTTCGTGAGAGCGTGATCTGATCGAAACCGCTGTCTTTGT